AATATGTGGTAAATTTGGTACCACCAAATCTAATCCATACCAACTGTTGAACCCCCGGATCTCCCCGCTCCATCTGTTCGGAAAGTTCTGACTCGAAATAATCTGTCATGCTGTGAGTACATCCAACAAGCCTCGTGGTCGCGGCTAAATGCGCAACTAACAAAGAACTTGACCTCGCCCAAATTCTTCGTGGGAAGAGAGTCACCTAGCGCTTCCACAACCATCTTGGCAAGCCTCTCGATTCCTGCACACAGAATGTCATCCACATGAATCGCGATCAAACCCATCACCTCGTCCCCCCTTATGAAACGGAGAACACACGGGTCAGACAGAGACTGCTCAAAACCATTTGTCTTCAGGTCCGACACTAGTCTCTTGTGAAACGTTCTAGATGCCTGCCTCAGTCAATACAAACTTTTGTCTAAACGGACTACCTTTCCTGACATCGACTCGCAGCCAGGAGGCAACTTCATGAACACCTCATGATCCAATTCCGACTGAACAAACGCTTGCTCAATGTCAAAGTGGAGTAATTCCAAGTTGTTACTTGCACGCCAATGCTACCAGCAAACGAATCGATGCTCTAATGCACACCACGCTTCTGCTTGAAGGCCTTCGCTACAAGCCTAGCCTTGGCCTTCACTATCTTGCCTGTTTCGTCTGCTTTCCATTTGTAGACCCATCTAGCATCTATCACGTTACAGCCCATCGGGGCCTTTACCGCTAACGCGAACGTTCCTGCTCTTAACAAGCCTTCAAACTCTGCAGGCATGGCTTTGTCCGAAATCACGGCATGCTTTGACTGGCGGGCTTCTCGGTAGCTACCAGGCTCTGTCTCTACATCCTGAATGAGCTCTGCCGAAGGGTGAGGCTTGCTTTTTATGTCGGTCTTTCGAGAGACAACCCGCGTGACTGTCATAGAGTACTTACGAGGGCAGGGACTATCCAAGAAACAAGGGATGTGACATGGCAGGCATTGCCGTCACAACTCCCTCTACCGCAACCATTTCTCTTGCCGATAGAGGTAGCAGGGAAGGGAGGGGAGGAAAGTGACGATGATGTAGAAGCCGAGGTATGGTCGCTTGTAGGAAGAGGAGTACCCCCACATTCTTCTGCGACGTGATGAAGCGGTCTCTGACGGAGAAATCGATGAGGTTGGCAATGTTGATGCAGGCAGTGTAGGCCAATCCCCCTCTGTGCCATCTTCGCCCGCGATTAATTCCCCCTAGTGGCGCAGCTCCCCCTGTGCCTTCTCAGCAGACGAGTTCACCGATGAGGGAGAGCAGGGAGGGCCAGAGACAGGGGGGCAGAATCGGCGGGTCCGGGAGGGCAGGAGGTAGAGTCGGAGAGTCAGGAAGGGTTGGATGAAGAGTTCGTGGAGCCGGGAGGGCAAGAGGTAGAATCGGAGACACTTCCCCCTGCTACGCACGTACCATCTAATCGTCGTGCGCAGCCCCTCCTGCCGAAACTACGCCGGAATCCCCGTACAGAGAAATAATGCGAAACTGATTGGAACGCCGCCCAAACGACGGCTGTTAAACAAACTCAGGGAAAGCGCGTCTAGCGATGTTGTTATTTATGTTGTCCTCACACTATAAACCGTACCTTCTGTCCGTTCCTTAGTCCAACACTTGACGGGGTCGATTCCCGTGGTCATAGGCTACCTTACCCAAAAAAGTTATAGGTTAGGTCAAAATTGAGAAGACCTCCCCGAACAACAGGTGTGTCAGAGACTTGGGCCACATGACCCAAGGCTGGTTGAACCACCCCGTCAAAGATAAGTTCTACCATGGTGTGCATTTCAGATGTTGGGACCTACGGTTGGTCGGGTGCAATTTCGATCGGGGAAGGGGGGGGTGTGGGAGTGCATCTATGTGCCTGGATGGTAACTGTGATGGCGAAAGGGAGACAAGGGATAGAGACTTTGGATTTGCTTGAGTTTAGTCAGATTCGATGCTGTTCTGCGTGCATCTATTTCAGCTGCATGCACTTTGCACGAGTTGGTACCTACATTGGGACTTGAATCAACTCTGAGTCGACTTGGCTAGAGTACGTCGGTCGCTTCGTCGGCACGACCGGGTGATTTGGGAAGGGATTTCATGCAGATCTAAACGCCAAACACTCCAGCTTCTCTGAAAGGCTGTCAGTTTTTTTCTCCGGCTTGTGAAAGACGTAATGAAGCGACGTACAGGCTGGAACATCTGTCCTCGAGTCAGCCAAATCAAGCCTTACGAATTTGAAAGTATCAAAGAACGAGCGGTGTTTCATCTCAAAGTTGACGCGTCACACCCCTAACCTTGACAATGACGGGCTTGTTGATGAGAGTCCACTCTAAGGTGGACAGGTGGCTAGGTTGGTCTACCTGGAAAATGCGGGCTGCGGCAGCCCAGTCCCGTCCATGCCCCGGTAGGACCCTCCTCTTGATTTACATGAGCCGCCACAAGAACATTCTTCGTATTACGACATCAACCACCATTCATTCCGCTGAAGCCGTAACCTCTACTGATGCTAGAACGAATCACGCAAAGGCGGGCACACATCCTTTGGAATTTGTAGCTGTCAGGTATCACATTCGCGAGGACGCACCCGGTTGTCACGGGAGAAGCCACCCCTCAGAGGCAACGGGTGTAGCCCCGCTCCAGCTGTGGAGCGGTCAGGCCGGGAACACCGGCCCGCAGGAATCGTTCACTGCAACCGCAACACAAAAAGAACATCTACCGGAAGAAAACACGCGTACGGAACCGCCTGCAATGAACCCTAGACTTCCTTTCGAAACAAAAACTTTGAGCGTATCCATCGAGCAATGTCTTCGATTGGCAGTAACCATGCGCGATTCACTCCCTGGCAAGCGTTCATCGGACGATTTCATCGAAGCTTTTCCTCGAAAATAGCTTGTGACTCCCCTTCTTCACTGCTCCCGCTCCCTCGTGGTCCCAAGGCTGCCGGCAACGTTCGCGGCCTTCGTCGTGGTGTACCTGTACTACCAACCGCTGGGCCTCGCACCCCTCCCTCCGCCCAATCAACCACGGGTCCTCGCTCCTCGTCCCCGACCTCTTCCCACTCTCCGTCGCTGTCGCCTTCCAAGAAATCCACACCGTCATCACCATCTTCACTGGGGTCGAAGCTGAAGAACTCGCCGCCTTGTTGCCCGCTGCTGGCGTCGTCTAGCTTCGCCGTACGGTCTTTGTAGTCGTGGTTGTCGAGGTACGGCCAGAGGCCCCCCACCTGGCTTTTTCTGGCAGCAACGAACATGCCGGGAACGCCTTTCCACTTGCCTTTGGCCACCACCTGTACACCAATAGCATCCGAAACTGTTGTTGTCCGTATCAAATCATCAGATTGTTCGCCATTGAGGACATGCCTCTCCCGGCTTGCAACGCCTACATGTACTTGGATTCTCTACGACCGCGGGGGCTTCTTGCCTGACGGCTTGATGACCGGCTGAATGAAGGTTGGGACGGATCTTTGATGTGACCACCGCCATGATAACATCACATAGACGGTGGGGGCTGTACACGAAATTGTTTTAGTGTGGCTGTACTACTGTCACGAGCAACAAGTATCGCTCTCAGCGGGCGCATGACAACCTATCAACCGTCGTGGACTTGTTTCATCGTACGCATTCTGGGGATCAACCCTTGCACCAAATCATCCACCTTTCGTTGGATGTTCCCCTCCGGAGAACACACATCCAGCAGCGCGTGGCCCTTAGCCTTGAGAGGCTTGCGGACTAGCCTTGCCCAGTCATCGCGCCTCAGAATTGCGTCGGATATCCCATCCGTGCCTTCATTCACAACGAGCGAGCGGGGGGGGACACTCGGATCACCATACCATGCTATACCATACCATACCCCAAACGATGGGGAGTGGCATGTGACGACTAGGGATCACGATTAACACGGACGGTAGCACTTACCGTAGCTCTATGAGCACCCCGTGAGGTTGGGGCTTGGGCGTGGAAAATAACAGGACTGGCTCTAGGGCGAGGACGAACGAAAGGGGAAGGGACAGGTTGTGGCAAGACCGACAAGGTTTCGGGGTTGATGGTAAAACTGCTCTACAGGTTCCCCCCGCGCCGGTGCTGCCGGGGACGCCGTGTGCCCGGGTGCACGTTGCTAGGCGCGTAGCAACGCAGAGTCGTGACACCGAGGTTCCAACAGGAGCCCTTTGATGGCGGCATGGCTTTGGGTGGCACAATCCCTTTTAAATCTCATTTATTGTGGGCATGGTCCTATCTCCTCGGCTGCCTACTACCTACATTCATGCACCCTTACCGAGAGAGTCCATGGCGTCCCTCAGGCTCCCACCACCGTTAAGGTTCTTTCTCTGCTGCACGAAGGCCTTGAGGAGGTCCACCGAGGAGGAACTGGTGCGGCCGCCTACCCTCTCGTCTTGATCCGCCTCTCGCTCCTGCGGTCAAACGTGTAAAGAATCGACATGTACACGAGTACGAATATGTCGCTGGAGGAGTTTTGGGAGGTGGTAAGATAGATGCCCACAACATCTCCCTCGTGTGTGACAAAAGCCTCCTTCCGATACGACGAGCGCTGCTACAGCATTACAACGCGCAGTAACTTCGTGAAGCAAATTTCCTTCAGGAGGACTAGCGAAAACGGCCCTAAAACACACAACGGGCACACGAACGCCTCATTTATAAACTATTGTCTTGACTTGAGATGACTCACCGGTGGCCCCTTTCGGATGGACACGTAGGAGAACGAGACCGACTTGACTGCAGAACTGGTCACGTTCACGGCGTTCCAAGGCACCTGCCACGCGACGTTCAACGAAAAACAACACAACGTGCCGCGAAAACGTTAGGCCAAGCGGCCACGAGGAATATTGCACCAGAGATGTGCTACAAGGCAAAGGCATCATCCTTTCCTTCCATGTAGTGAACATTCCGAGTGACTGATTGCTTGTTTCGGATAGGACCAAATTTTCCTATCACGAAAACGACGAGATTCGGATGGACCACCAACGACCCGGCTTGACATCACATCACGATAGAACGCGCGGTAGCCATGTTCCCACTCACGACTTTACCCCCCGCGTCCTTGAGTGAGACAACGTCTGGAACTTGCATTTTGGCATAACTCGATGAATAAACTCGACTCTTCGAGTGCCCGTTGCACGCTGTCGTGATATTAAGTGCCCCGCGAATGCCCAGGTCGTACGAAAACCATGAGCGGGTGAAGTTGTTTTTCTCGCCTTCTGATGCAGGCGACAAAACTCCCCAGCCTGCAGCGGGCACTCCTTGTCGTGCCGGCACGGGCCAACGACGTAAGGCCTTGGCGGGGCCTGCCTCTCGTTCTTTTTGCCTCGTCTGTTGCCTCGCTGCTTACCCGTGTCCCCACCTGCCGAGCGCCAGAGAGCACGGACGGACGCAATAGAAGGGTTGAGGTAAGCGGAGAAGGATACCCGTACATGTACGGCGGCCGGCGAAGAAGCGCTGCCCCCGACCGCCCGAAACGAAAAGTGAAAGAGTTCGGTCACCACCAGGAAGCTCAAAAAGTATCTTCTCCACCCCCTTTGACCAATGGCAATGCCACGTGGCGTGGGGTGGTGATCAATCACCTTGTTCAGGGGCAGGTGCCGACGGTCGGAGCACCATGTGTCTCGCAGAGCGGACTGTATGCGACCCCTTAGCGCTGCCGTCCTCCACCAAGACCAGCACGCCTCCGGGAGCTACCAGGCTCCACATGACGGCTGTTGCCGCAGCTCTGCGCGAAGAAAACAGAAATATTTTGACGGGTTAAGGCCGAGCAAAGATATGAGAAAGAATCGCCCGCCCACGAACACAAATCATCACTGCTGCAGCGACGTTGTCTGTGTGTAACAAGACCGAACACAGATATGCCAACGCCGGCTCCTCCCCCACACCAATTGAACATCGACCAGTTGAAGGTTCAATCACAACCTTGGCGTTGTCCGGAACACATTGAATTGCTGTGTGGTTTGCGGATACTGAAACCTTCACCTCGTACATCTGCCTCAAAGGGCCCGCCACACTGTCACCTGGACGCGTGGGTGGGAAGGTGTGACAAAGCATAGGCGGCCACCACTAGGTCGAACTTCCTGCCACCCGGAGCCCCGCCCGCCCCCCCTGCACAAAAGGCGAACACGAAACGAGCAGCGAGGAACACAAAACACAACACACAGGAAAAACTTCGTATCGGCCCCTGCACGTCAAAACTGAAGCGACCAACAGATCGTCGTCCCCGCCGAGCCGGCTGATGCCGCAACAACATCATGCGCTGCTGCAAACCACCTGCAAACGTCGGTAGTTAGTGGACAAAAAATGAACTTCGAGGCGATACTGACTCAAGGTCGGGACTGCGATAGAGGCATGAACAGAGTTACGCGCCAACACACGCATCTTCACCACGCACCCTATAACAGTTGTCCTCACCTCTGCCCGCCGTCCTGGCCTCCTCCAACAGTGAGGTGCCGAATCCCGTTCGAATACGGCCAGTGTTCGTCAGGGGCTCCAACATGATCTTGCAGGCGTCCTTCATGGACTGCGACTCCTCCACCATACGCACCTCCGACAGATTGCTGCCTGCTCGACGCGTCGGGTTGGGTTGGCAAAGAGCAAGGATTGCGTGAAAGGGCGAGTGTTGGGTCGGTTCAGCGAGCGCAAGGCCAGTGCCGTATCAGGAAGACGACGCGACAGCGCAGATGGAAAGGGGGCAACTGCAACCCTCCCCTCGAGCCTCGCATGCGCACAACGCAACGTCCTAGCACCCGCCGCACACCGCTTACGTCCACCGCGCCCGTTCCTGGGCGTACACTGTCAAATTTCAGCACCCAGTGTACGCCTTGCAGCACACCAAGAACAGTGCAAGTGCAACCCAACCCAACCATACAATACAACGCGGCAAGTCGAGCCTCGCTCCCCCACGCGCTGTAATCGTGGCGACCGACCGACAACGTAAACGAATACGGTACTCTCATCGCTGCAGTCCAGTGAACAGGGCGCTATTTAAGTCTGCTTTGTCACCTTGTCTGGTCTCTTCTCCATCTTGAGCCACCGAGCTACCGCCACCCGCACCCCAAACGTCCCAGACTGCCAGGGCCGACGTACCCGGGCCGCTGCCGAAGTCCAGCATTGTGCGAGGGTTAAAGTCGGGCAACTCGCTCTTCACCTCCGCCATCACCCTGCGCAATTAAAGACAGCCACGTACAAATGCCAGAACCATTCAACGGCAAAAACTTCGAGGGCCAAAGAAGAATGCCATGGGCCAGACCAGATCAGGGGGGGGTTCTAATGCTTCGGGACGCGCGCGCGTTTAATCATGAAGTCTGCAGCCATGCACCCCTCTGCGCTATAGCAACGAACCCAGCCAGGAATCACGAACGAAAAGATGCCCCTCGAGGCGAGGGTGCCAAGTTTCTCAACGGTTGGGTGCGGTGGCACCACGCTGCGGGAACCACGACAGTAGTGCTGCCACTCGAGCAACGCCACACAAAGCAAAAGCAGTCGTTTTCGAAATATCGCTTGAAGTCACACTGTTGATTTCGTTGTCTATCTTATGTTGCATCGATGTTTCGGAATTGTGCACGCACTATGCAAGAAAAAAAATGACAACTCATATGCTTGAACACGCCACTGGGCAAAAACAAACACTCCAGCTCCACCCGGGAATTGTGCCACTCCACAAAAAAGCAGAGCACTTCGTGGTACCTGTGCAGAACCGTGTAGGCGGGCACCATTCGGTGGTACACGTAGGCAAATGTTTCCGACGGACCGTAGACTACGCGGTTTGCCCTTCCGCTGGCCCTGCTGCTGCTATGGGCCGGCTCCGTTTGGGGCAACCCGTCCGTCGATCCAGCCGAAGGCGCAGGTTCCTCAAACCCCACTTTCACGGTCCTGTAGTTTCCCGCCTTAGGTGCCATGCATTCAACAAGAAAACATCGAAAACGAAATGGGTAGGTTTCAAGTAATCGGGGACTTGTAAACTAGCCATAAGGTTATCGCACGAGAAAGGGTTGGCAGCCCGACCGATCAAGAGGCAAGGCGATGCGGGAGGGCGGAATGTACCAGGGCAGCACGTGCTCGCACTGCATTCCTTCGCCACAAAACACCTGACTAAAGCTGGCTGGTACGCACACACATGGATGTAAAGGAGTTGGAAAAAAAAACAGCATAAGCACCCAACACCTCGCCAACGATACCACTTACCCGCAAGTTGAGCGCGGTTTCAGTCTCTCGTAAGCGGTCGTGCGCTTTCCGCAGCTGCCCTGGCGACCTAGCTGCGAGCACCTTAACGCGTGCAAGCGAAAAGGAGTCGGTAGCGTTAATGAAGCCGGCGAGAAAAGGTGGGAAGGGGGCAGGTGACCAATGGTACCGCTGCGGAGTAGGCGCGTTGGGCTGCGGAACGTTGTTAACGTGTTGACGACATCCTGTGCGGTCAGATGGACAGTTCTCAACAAGATTTCCGTTCCATTCAGACTACAATAACCCCAAGTGTTCGGCGTCTGCCAGGCAGGGAACTCGACCGAGATAATCAACACGAGAGTGGATAGTGAACATTTGTCATTTCACGGAGAGTGTCAACCACCTGCTGCCGGCCTTACCTTGTCTCTAGCCTCGAGCATGCTGTGCGCGAAAATATCTTGGTCGTAAAGGGACATCTTGGCCCTCGGGATGAGGAATGCCTTGCCAATGTTGAGAGGCCCGTCGCCTAGCGCGTCGCCTTCATCGTCGTCCTGGTCGTTCTGCTCATCGTCCTCGTCAACTTTCTCTGCGATCGACGAAGGACAACGTACGACCGGTTAAAATTGAGTAAAATTTACTTGACTTGACCTGTGTTTGTCGATGTATCCATTTTTAGTTTGTTTACCTAGTTTGTTATCTTACGTGGCGAATTGTCAACCTAACATGAATTTCCAGGCGTTGGAATAATGCCAGACATCAGGAAGTTTGAGATAGCCGGTCGCAAGAGCAACCAGGTTCGTGCGAGCAGGAGATGGAACTTGCATGAAGCGAATTGTACAAACGCAAATGAAAACCTCAACGTGTTGAAAATCCAACCGCCCATTCCAACCACATGCTACAGCACCCCAATCATCGTTGGCTCAAAAATGGAGATGATGGTGATGACATATTGCCGCTGTGCTGCAGCAGGTATTTCTCCTTGTGCTTTCGGCAGCTCCCACTCACCGAGGCGTCTGGCCGTGTTGTGTGGCACCGTGTTGAGCCACGCGAAAAACTCGGGTGTGCCGAGATCCGCGTTTGTCCACACCTTTGCTCCCGAGTTGCCAACTTGGCTCTGCTGGGGAAGGGGGGAAGGCACAATCCATATTAGGCCACATATCTACCCCATTCATTGTGTGTTGTTGGAGGCAACGAGCAACGGGTGACTCTACTGAGTGAAAAATCGAGGAGAGCTCAAGCGCTTCAAAACAGCCGCGGCTGCATACCGTTGACAGCGTGCGGAATATCACCGGAGTGTTAGACATGATATTAGATGTAGCGCCACAGCAGTACGCAAATGTACTGAAGCACCACCAGTTTTCCCTTCTTCCCCTCGCTCCTCGACAAGCTTTTGCTTAGACATGGGTTCTAGCGAAGGGGGGGGTCTTCCTGGCGAGCAGGGCTAGACTCACCCTCAAGGGATGACCGAAACCTTCTTGCTGCTGCGCATATGCCGCGAGGCGTGCGTGTGGTGGTGGAGTTGGGTCGGCACTGATGGCGTCAGGCGGGAAAATGTAGATGCGCGGGCCTTTCTGGCCGTCGGCGTTGGCAGTGATGCCCATCTCGTTTTTGTGCGCGGAGGCAGACACCATCAGAAAGGTGGACGGGCACTATACGGCCCTAAGTTTGCTAGAGGGAGCTGTATTGCCTCAGTAACCTGGCTTCGCCATCAAAGGAGGAGGGAGCAGGTGGCGACGAGCTGAACTAGGCTGGTTGACCATTCGGCGCGAGATTTTTTATTTTTTTCAGACCAAGAACCTTGAGTGCAATGAGGGAGAAAGCGAGGAACGGACTGGGAAGGACAGCAACGAGAGCGTGTACGGACGGAGCAGGTCGAGTGGCGTTTTGCTCGGGCTGACTACAGCGGCGCCGGATGGAGCAATGGCACCGGAGCATGCGGGCGACATCGACCCGTGGCGCACGGACAAACATTTATATCTGATCTGTGTTGTCAATTTTTCTCGTTTTTTTCCTGATTTTCGGTGTTGGTTCTATGTGATGACGTCGTCACTGGTTTTGTAGAGAGACCCGTCAGAGATGGCGTGGCTAACCCGGGTGCCTTGGTTATGTGCCTGATCGTGGAAGACCCCTTCAATGTGGAACGATTCTTAGCTAGTGTCGATATTTTTCACTGCAGTGCCTAACACAGACGATCGGGAGAGATTCGGGTGATTGTCAATTGCTGCTATGATGGCTTTGGTTGGTTGTTCTTTTTCACTGTACGGCCGCAGACACATTCTGACAGCACTTCAGACAGCAGCTTTGTGCCCCGCCAGCTGCTTGTTCCATGCCTACCGTGGTGTTTTTGTACAGACAGCACTTCAGACAGCATTATGCTGTAGTCGGCAATCTTCCGTTTTGGTATAGAGTGGGACAGGGAGGGGGTGATGCTACTGTAGTCGAACGGTGGGACGGGCGTGCAGTTCAGTTTTTGGGCACGCATACGGTGCTGCAGGGATTTTTAGGTGTACCTCTTCGGGCTCTTGGATACCTTTTTTCTCGTCATTGTTGTTGTTTTGTTGTTTTTCTCCCATCATAGGACTCTGTCGTCTGCCCCTCTGGCCCCTATCCTCCACTTCTACTAGCTAGACGACCCAACCGGGGTCACACAGGAGGGGGGGGTTGGACCCCTTCCTACGGTTCATGCCTGAGGTATTTTTATCGCGAGAAGGGTACAGCAATCCCTTCCCTCGCGACTTACGAAGTCGATTATGGTTTACTAACGAACGAGCTTCGCAGCGCGTCGCTTTCATCCTAGACCAGGATTTATTTAGTGAGAAAAAACTCTCTCTGCCGGGACTCGAACCCATGACCTGGCCCTTAGCAGGCTGCGAGGCTACCCACTAGACCACCGGGGCGACATATGTGTGCGTGTTCTTTAGATCCTCAGATGGCTCTAGCACTTTCGTGACCACGGGCTGAGAGTCTTTTGCTAGATTTTGGCATTTAGCAACTGACATACGGTTTAATGTGAAGACAACAACAACAACCGCCAAAGCTGATGTCTGCCACCGAGTTCGGGGCGCGTGTTTATCATAAGGCCTGCCGCCCGAGGGTACAACTCCTGACAACGAGGCGCAGTGCACTGGACATGTCATGTGCTGAAGGCGCTACAGGCGCGCCCGCACCACCCGGGGTGTCCCTGGTTTTGCAGTGCCGTACACCAACAGGACACCAAAACCAACCGAGCGTAGTGTGTTGGGCTTCCTCCGACATTCACCCGGGGTCCATTGCCAATCGCTCACCTTACTGCGCGGAACACTAGCAGCGTACACAGAGCGGCTATCTTCCACAGCGGAAGGAGAGATTGCCGCAACCGCCTCTGGATGAGCTCTGGCCAACCGCCGCATGCGGTGGGTCAACCTTGGCATCCTGGTTGTTGTTGCTGCAGCTCGCCCTGCCTCTCCGCTCTTGGTCGAAACACTCCATCGAGTACCTTGGGTAGTGCTCGAGCTGGTGACACGCAAAACTGGTCTACTGATTGCCCCACTTACGCAGCGAGACATGGCACTGCTGTTGCTGTGCTGCTGCTGATACCACGCTGTTGTGCTGCGACTACTGCTGTGAGGCTGTGAGGCGCAGAGACAGCAGCAAAACGCGGCGGGTTTCTTACAGAGCGAGTTCGCGGAGCCTGTCCAAAAGTATGTGACAGTCCAGTGATGGTATGTATCGGCCAGCTGGTAAAAAAAACGACATCGCAACAAATGCCCTCACTACAGAGTGAGCTGCTTTTCTCTTTTTTTTTATTTCTTAAATACACAACAAGTCCATCTCTATCTAGACTACAGAATACTTTCGCTGCCTCGGTAAGGTTTTGCGTAGGCATGACTCAAAGCGAGGGGGGGGGTCTTTCTAGCGAGCAGGGCAAGACTCAACCTCAGGGGACCGATACGTTCTTGCTGCGGTGCACCCGCCGCGAGGCGTGCGTAGTGGTGGAGTTGGGTCGGCACTGGTGCGTTATTAGGTACGAAGGTGCAGATGCGCGGGCCTCCAGGCCGTCGGTGTAGGCAGCAATGCCCATCTCATGTTTGTGCGCGGAGGCAGACGTCATCAGAAAGGTGGACGGGCACTATGTACACGGCACGGCCCTAGGTTTGCTAGAGGGAATTGTGCTGTCTCAGTGACCTGGTTTTGCCATCAAAGGAGGAGGGGACAGGTGGTGACGAGCTGATAGGGCTGGTTGACCCTTCGGCCCGAGAATCTTCAGACCGACAACCCTAAGTGCAACGAGGGAGAAAGCGAGGAACCGAATGGGAAGGACAGCAACGAGAGCGTGTACGAAGTGGAGCGGGTCGAGTTTGGTCGTGCTAGGACTGGCCACAGCGGCACCGGAGCAGCGGAACCGGAGCATGCGGACGGCATCGAATCGTGGCGCACGGACAAACATCTCTTCAGACTTGTATTGTCAACAAATTTTCCGTTTTTTTCCTGGATACTAGTCTGATTATTTATTTTATTTTATTTTATTTGTTTCTGATTATATTTTGTTTTCTTGTATTTTATCGCTCTGCTGACCCTTGGGGTCCATTTTATTTTGGTATACCTTTTCTAGGTACGTTAGCCTGTGACCACGGAAATTGGCCGAGTCAAGTGATGGATTAGTACGGAGAGATTGAGACAGAAGGAGGTACTGGATAGAGAGACCGGGATGGTTTTTAATGTGAAGACAACAACAACAACAACAACAGGTGTTAGGTGTGTGTAATGACGTCACTGGTTTTGTAGAGAAACGCGGCAGAGATGGCGCCGATAGCCCGGGTGCCTTAATTTTGTACCTGCATCGTGGAAGACCCCTTCAATGTGGAACGATTCTTAGCTATTGTCGATATTTTCACTGCGTGCCTAACACAGACGATCGGGAGAGNAAGGAACATTATAACGACGGGGATAGCAGCACAGCAGCAGTAGCGTCCCCTACACAATGGTACCCGCAGAGACCGGGGTGCTGCTGCGCCGCGGTCTTCCTTTTTCCGCAAGGTTCCTGATCTCGGGTAGGGGCTGCGGCTCTGCTGCCCCGTATTGACAGTAGCGCTGTCCTGCCGGGCTGCAGCAGCCGTGGCGTCGGGAAGTTAGTCTGGCGTGGAGTTCGCGATGGCCAGCAGCTCATCCCAGACAACACGT